TTTATTGTTGTTATTTTTGCATCTCGGCGGAGTGTCAAAAGGGAAGCACAAGAGGGTGAGCGAGGAGAAGGTCGTCATGTTTTCGTTAAAGCGGGCAGTGGAAGCGACAGCGCGCGGGGAGGTGCGGCGGGGCTTACCTCTTGGGAGCCGTGGGTTGGTGTCTCCCACCACTCTGACCGCCTTGACGTCAAAGTGTTGTATTCTCCCACCTTTTTTTCCTTCCAGTTTTTTTCGTTTTGGGGCTCGCCAGTTCTTTCGTGCGTCTCTCTGCGACTGTGGCGTGCCGTCGCATGCGTATTATTTTTGTCTTGGCGCAGGAAAATGTGGAGGGACGCAAAAAAAAATATCCGCAAGAGTACGCGCGGCCTCACACGCACACGGAGGCGCACGTGGTATAAAAGCGTGCAGAAGTGTCTCTCCGCGGGCGTCTGTGCGAGGGCGCGAGTGAGAGGGAGGAGGCAGGCTAATGCTTCCACGCGGCGCAACGGACACTCGCGTCGACGCTGCTACGAAGCAGCAAATGGGGGATGCTGCAGACATGAAACGAAAGAACAGAGGAGCGAGTGATGCTTTGAGGAAAAACTTGTATATATATGTATATAACAGAGACTAAACTGAAGTGGAATTCAACTCCTCCTCCTCCTCCTCCTGTCGTCCCCGAACAGAAGGAGCAGGTCAAAAAAAGAAGGATGATTTGATGCGTGACTTTTTTTTATCTTCTATTCTCTTCTTCTTTTCTATTGTACTGCGTGTGTTCGTGTGTTTTATCTGCGCTGCTGCAGCTGCCGTTGAGCGCGTAGATTTTCCTTTTTTTTTTTCGTTTTTCGGTCCCCCCTGCCTCCCCCTTCTCCCTACCCCGTTTCCCTCATATTGTGGTAAACACACGACGGGGGGCGGCGCGCTCCGTCCCTCTTGGCCGCTGCAGTGCCGTCACTCACCGTCTCGAGCGTGCCTGTTTCTCGGCCTCACTGCCCCACTCGTTACTTCTTTATCCCTTTCTCTGCGTGCGCGTATCTTAAAATACACACACACACACATGCTACGTGGACCGATGCAAGGAAGAAATAGGGAGGTGTCAGTTGCCCTTCGGTAGCAGACATTTGGTTCGACAACTGCAAGGCACGCGTACGCGATAGGAAGTAGGCAGGCATGCTGCGTTTATCGTCCGTGTACCGCAAGTCCCGACACCACAATGTGCTGCGGCGTGGTCGCCCCCACATGCAAAAGTATCGCGAGCTCAACCGGTGGCAGCGGCAGGCACAAGGCATAAGCAAGTGGGATCAGAGCCACTCACACAGGCCGTTGCCATATGTCGAGCGCTTCAATCCTGAAGGTGCCGGGGTGACACGGGGCACTTCTGCCTTCGCGTGGAAGTGGTGGCATACGCAGCAGCCGTGGTTGCCGAACGTTGCACCGACCAAATACGCAAGAAAGGGCAGGCCAAACACGTCTGGGGCAACGGCGGTGGCGACAAAGCCGCCTGCGTGGGATGAGGAGTTCACGACAGTCGTTTTAGGTATGTCAGATGCGGAGATTCGCGACTACCTCGTTAGTAAACTCACCGATGTCATCTTTGCCGAGACACAACGCGACGGATACGAACTGCGACGGCTGGACTTTGAAGGAAACCCGCTCACCGCCCTGCCCGAGCGACGCATAATTGAGAGTTTCGTATTCGAGGAGGAGACGCTGCGAGAACGTGTCATTTATCAGGTGGTAGAGGGCGTGTTTCGACTAAGTCCCACGTCTGCCGACAGACGGGAACTTCGCAGCGTGGAGGCAATCATTGACTACGTCCTCACACACGTGTCTGCTGCGCGACCTGATGACCGGCGGCGCGTAACCCCAGCCGCCCTGGCGGTGATGCAGCAGTGTCCACTGCAGCCAGAGCTCGGCTTCGTGCACGCCCTACCAGTGGACACGCGCGACACACTGCTGCAGGAATGGGAGCGCATGTTTCATTTAGACTGGCAGTTTGGTAAGGCCGTATACGTACCACGCAATCAGGAAGAGACACGCGGTAACCTCACTTGGCTGCGGGAGGAGCGGCACAACGCCGAGCGTGTGCAGTTTATGGAGGGGGTCTCCAGTGGTGAGGCGAAGCGGCGGCACATGGAGTGCATCGCCGAAGCCGCCCGTGTGGACTCTCCCCAGGTGATGCAGTGATGGCAGCTGGCAGGTGACCAAAAAGGGAGAGAACGAAGAAAGCAATATCCAGGAGGGAATGAACGCGCGGTGGTGTGGCGCAAATGGCAAAAAAAAAAAAGGAGAGTAGTGGAGGAGAAAAGAATGGCGTGGAAGTGGGTGTTGCGGTGTTTCTTTGCGGAGAGTGCAACGCTGTTGTGGCGAGCGATGGACGCAGCACGGTGTGTATGTAATCGAAAATACACATGGGTGCCTGGGTGACATACTTTTTCCCGGATTCTGTTGGCTTCCGCCTTTGAATTATCCCCTATTCCTTTTTAAATTTTGCTGGAACCAAACCCCTGACATCTATTTTTTCCCCACTCCCTCGCTTTCTCCCCCGCGCGCGCTACACACGTCCGCATGGGTGGCGAGCAAGAGGTGCGAGGAAGCAGAAGCAATTGGCCTCCACATGTCGCTGCATGCGGGGGAGGTGGGGCACGATGACGTGAGCGACGGCCGCAGGGAGAGCGCTGCGAAGCAAGCCGGTGTGGATCTGGAGCAGCTGCAGCTTATTCAGCTCTGCTTCGGCGAACACGAGTTTGGCGTGGCGTTGGACAACGTGGCGACCGACGACGTGCAGGAAAGGCAACAAGACGGCGCCGGGCCTGACGCGGTGTCACAGCACAACAACGACCACCAGCAGGGCGGCCTCGGTGTCGCGTTCGAGTTTGATTCCTTTCTGTTTGTCCAGGAGAAGCTGGACCACGGCGTGCCGCTCCGTAGTTTGTGTCGTGACCTCGAGACGTTCGCAAAGTTTTTGGACAGCAGCATTTTGCGGCACGTGAACATGGAGGTCCACGACTCCTTTGTAAAGGTCTCTGGGCACCTTGTTGGGATGCAGGACGAGCTGCGTTGCGTGCAGCAGCCCGTGCTCGCCGCCGTGAAGAAAGTGGAGGGGGCATTGGAGAAACTCGCGCAGCTTGAGGAGGCAGTTCATAGCCAACTAGGAGACGCGACCGAGGTGGAACTGGCCCGTCTCTTCGATGTGAGTTTTCTTAAGCTTCTTCTTATGCTTGATTTGCTCTCTGAGCGAGTTGAGGCGCTTCCCACTTGTATGCGCTCCACGGCGGCTGACGCCAAGCGGCAGCAGCAGCTGAGACACAGCGACAGCTTTTCCTTGGCAACTATGGCAATGGCGGCGGGCAGTCCACACGTGTGTGAGGCGCTTCTTGATATTGCCGTCACAGTGCAGCAATGGAAGGCTCTTTATCAGACTCTGCCACGGCTCTCGCAACGTGCAAGGGAGTGTGAGGAGGCGTCGGAGCTTCTTCGCGAGGGCACGCAGTTGGCACATCGGGTGTTTTCAAACGCGTATCTTGCACTTCATGAGGCCTATCTGCAGGACCCACGAGAAGAGTTGAAGCCCGCGTTGCGTGTAGTCATGGGGCTGTACCGCACAGCTGGTGAAGTGCGGGAATTTTGCCGCATGTACCGTGAGCGGATTCTGCGGCCGCTGCTTGAATCTGTGCTCTCATGGCGGGCCGCCACACAAGCCCGCTACAGTCTCGGGGACACAAGCAATCTCCTGGCAGATCTGCGGGAGCAACTGGAGACGAAGGTCCTGTGTTTCGTACCGCTACTTTGGGAGTCTTTTGAAGGTGCTGTCTTGCCGATTCCCATGATTGTCTGGCCTGCCGTGTGCGAGGCGGTCGTGAAGAAGCTTGTCTCGCTCTACGACATTAGCGTGGCTGACGCCTTTCAGAAGCGCTACGTCGCGGCACATGAGCTGCTTGCTCTCATGGTGGCTAACTGCAGCTCCGCAGAGGAGCTGCAGGCGCTGATGCAGTCGCCTGATGTTGCACTCTGGAGGCACAAGTGGAACACAGACGTGTACGGCACGATACGGGCCAATGAGTTATCGAAGAAAATAGACGATGCGATTCAAGCGTTTTGTGCAACGCCATGGGAGCAATTGGCTCGGCAAGCACCGAAGCAGCCGGAAGAGCACATTGTGGGGGATGCTGGGTTCCGCATGGAGCTTTTCACAAAACTGCGGGAGGCGCTGGATTGGCTCTTCTCGCCTGAAGTTTACATTTACATCTTGACGCCAAAGTTCATTCGTGAGGCGGCCGCTGCAATGCGTAGGGTGGTGCAAAAACTGCTCGAGCACGCGGAGGCTGCCCAAGATGCAGCTTCAATGCAGGACTGTCTGTATGCTGTCATGACTGCCTGTGTCGATCTTGAGGACCTCGCGGCGTACGTTGAGGGGCCATTTCGTATGCGATTAGAAAAGGCGAGTCAACAGCCGTTCCCCGCCACATCGCCTCTTCTGCAGCTTCTCACACAAGACACGTGTCGTAGCGCCATCGTCTCTCTCCATCGAGTGGTGCAGAACCGCCTGGCGGAGGAATGCCTTGTCGGTCTTCAGAATATTCGTTCGGTGAGATCGGCGTACTCACACATGCGTAAGCCATTCCCTACGACGCCGTCGTGGTATGTCGCCAGCACAATAGAGCCACTACAGCGCTTTTATACGGCCGTGCGCACGTTATTGCCCCCAGCGACGCGTCATGGTATGATGGTGGAATTGGTGATTGAGGTGGCGAGCCGTTTTCGTACACTTGCGAAGGAAACACTTGTGACGGCGAAGAAGACGGAAGAGAGTTGGGAAAAGCTGCGGCGTCGTAAAGAAACAACAAACGGTGGGCGTGGGCCGGAGGCTGAGGCCGTTTCGGGGCATGGTCATCCTTCTTCTTTTTCGGCTGCTGCGGCTGCGGCTGCGGCTGCTAGCGTGCGACCCACGCAAGAAACCGCGTCGGACCGTGACAAAATGACGCTCCAGTTGTACCTTGACGCCAAGGCCTTTGTAAGGGAGGTGGAGACGACGCTGGGACTCGGGGCGGAGGCTGAAAAGCTCGCTGCCGTTGTCGCACTCTTTAAGCTGCTGCGCCGGGCCAACTGGATTATGGGCGAGGATATACCCGAGCCGCCAGATATCGATGAAGCGGGGGCGTAAGCGTCTTTGTACATTCAAGCAGGCATGTGGAACACGATGGACGGTAAATGACGTGCCCCACGATTTGGCCGTTGCTTTTGTTGTTTCTTTGTTTCATCTCTCTCCCTCTCTCTGTTTCTCCTGCGTGTGCACGTGTCCAATGACGCCATGGAAAAAGAAAGTAAATCAAAGTTAAAAACGCGAGGAAGAAGATCAAAAGGGAAGGCGCGTGTGTGTGCGTGTGTGTGTGTGTCAAGGGAGAAGTGAAAGATGTGTTGGGTCTACACAGAACTCGTTCACTGCGGCTTTTGCTTTTATTCTGTTGAGTTATTGATTTTGTTCTTTCCT